TTCACATCACTCTTGGTTTCTTTGTGGTTTAGCTGTTGAGAAAAAGCCAGAGTAGTTTGCTTAATGGTGGATGATGGTGGTGGTGGTGCAGTGGGGGGGGGGGATGATGCAAAGAGTAGTGGGTTATGCTGGCTCGCACAAATTATGCGCTTTGTGGAAGCACAATGGACCTGGTTGTGAGATGACAGCCTACAGATGTCCCATGTAACTTCTGTTTGAAGTTGTCCATCTGAGAGAGAGAAAGAAGAGAGAAGAAGGGAGAAAGGAGAGAGACGCGAAGGGAGGGAGGGAAAAGGAAAGGAGAGAAGGTAGGAAACGAAGAAAGGAAAGGATTTAGAGCAGGGGTCTTCAAACGTGGCCCTTTTATAACTTGTGGACTTCATCTCCCAGAATTCCTCAGCCAGGCACGCTGATCTAGAGAAAGGAAATAGAAAAAGGAAATAAGGAAAGGAAAGGAAAGGAAGAAGTAGATAGGAAAGAGAAAAGAGAAAAGGAAGAAAGGAAAGGGTAAAGAAGGGAAGGAAAGAGGGAAGGAAGGAAGGAAGGAAGGAAGGAAGGAAGGAAGGAAGGAAGGAAGGAAGGAAGGAAAGAGAAAGAAAGAAAAAGAAAGAGAGAAAGAAACCACGTCTTGATTGGGCCACAATTGTCTGAATAACACTCGCCCTGCCATGACTGGTGTGAGGGTGGAGCTGACCTGCTTTGGTCGGATGCAAAGACACACAGACAGAGCTTTGGTTTGGATAAAAGATTTGGCCCATGATCTGGGTATATTTGTAATGGAAACGTGCGCTGCTTTCTCAAAAGCATATTTATTCTGGCAGAATGATTATCTGACAGGCGTCCTCCGCATTGCCGACATTCAACATTTCTCAGCAGGGCTGATAATGATCATTTTTTGGGGGTCAGCTTTATTTGCCTTTGGTTTAACCTCTTGGCTAATATTCTCCCGCGGATGAAAATCCTTTTCGACTCAACAGTTTAGCCCGTTGCTGACGAACAAAGCTTCCCTCTCTCTCAGGTGCCTTTCGGTTTCATTCATCCCCTAAATCCTTTTTTGAAAGATCAAAGGACTGCGATGGTGGGATGTTGTTTTAATTCTAGCACGATGAACGATGAACGGAGGAATTGCACAATTCCAGGGAAGGAACCCTGTCACAGATGCCAAATAATACTCTGCTGATTTTGCTCGGTTGCATCCCCAGATAGGAAAGGGTGAAAGTAAAAGGAGGGTGGGGTGAGCCAAGGCAGCCAGCGGCTTGAGGGGGACAAGATGGCACCCCGCTTCTCTGTTCCATGATACAGTCTCCTGGAAATAAGGAGGGTCCTAGGAAAGGAGAGGGAAGCAGCCAGGACAATTAGATGGGACTGCCCTAGACCTGTGTGTCTATTCATCCACCCCAGTCAGTTTTTCCTCCTTGGTGCATCAAGAATTGTTGGATTTTTTTGTGTTTGAGAGGGAGGGAGGGAGGGAGGGAGGGAGGGAGGGAGGAAGGAAGGAAGGAAAGTAGGAAGGGAGGGAGGGAGGGAAGGAAGGAGATAGGGAGAGACAGGGAGGTAGGAAGAAAGGGAAGGAAGGAAAGTAGGAAGGGAAGGAAGGAATTAGATAAGGAAAGAGGACAGAGGAAGGTAGGGAAAAAGGGAAGGAAGGAGGGAGGGAGGAACAGGGAGGTAGGAAGAAAGGGAAGGAAGGAATTAGATAAGGAAAGAGGACAGAGGAAGGTAGGGCGAAAGGGAAGGAAGGAAGGAGGGAGGGACAGAGGGAGGTAGGAAGAAAGGGAAGGAAGGAAAGTAGGAAGGGAAGGAAGGAAGGAGATAGGGAGGGACAGGGAGGTAGGGAGAAAGGGAAGGAAGGAAAGTAGGAAGGGAAGGAAGGAAGGAGATAGAAAGGAACAGAGGGAGGAAGGGAAGGAAGGAAAGTAGGAAGGGAAGGAAGGAGATAGGGAGGGACAGGGAGGTAGGGAGAAAGGGAAGGAAGGAAAGTAGGAAGGGAAGGAAGAAAGGAGATAGGGATGGAGGACAGGGAGGGAGGAGTTATGGAGGGAGGGAAGTTTGGAGGGAGAAAGGGAAGGTAGGAAGGAGAGGGAGGGAGGGAGGATCGAAGGAAAGAAATCTGAAATTTACCGCTTTACAGCATACAGAGAAAGCATCCTGCCACGCGCCCTGTTTGATGCCTTAGGTGGCACAGCAGGGTCCTGCCATTAAACAAAATCTTGGCAGAGAGGAATGCCTGCCCTCCTCCCTTCCGCAAGAGGCGATTTAAGCATTACAGCCTCAAGCAGCAGCACATCCCCAAGAGATGTCACCCTCCCCCAAAAAGGACTTCAGGGGTTATTTTGTCCAACGCTGCAGCAGAGATAACCCAGATGGAAAACAAGGCTCCGAATTTGTGTCAAACAGCCATTCTCTCCCCCCTCTCCCCAACTTTCACACTGCTGGTCTTTGCAGCTGACAATCTCTTCCCCCCCCCCCCAAGAATTGCTCTGATAGACAGTCTTCTCTCTTGCTTTTGCAAAAAAAAAAAAACCCAACCCAGTTCCAGAGGCTAAAGAAACCAGAATAGAAAATCCCCCCCTTGATTCCCGCGAATCTCCTGGGTCACAGCCCAGAACTGTCGCCTGTCTGGTTAACATTTCTCCGGGTTGTTTATCCCATTTCCTAAATCTCGGGTGCCGCTACGGAATCCTTCATAAAGCACATCATGACACACAAGCAAGGCCGGAATAAAAGCGGGGCTGTCGGGAAGGGGAAAGTGCTTATTTTAGCCATACGTTGGCTCCTTAAACGTTTATTTTATTGATTGTGGAGCTCAGCTCTTTCACACTCGGGCTATTTAGCCGGCTAAGAAGGAACTTTGAGCAATTGACCTCTGAGGACGGGCCATTAGGAGGGCAACACAGCCAGAGGCGGTCCTCAATTTGCAGACATTTCATTTAATGACCGTTGAAAGTTAAAAACAGCACTGGGGGGGGAAAGGCGACTTTAGGACTATTTTTCACACACTTATGACCGTTGCAGCATCACGTGATCAGAGGTTTGGCAACTGACTCGTATTTATGATGGTGGCAGCATCTTGGAGTCACGTGATTGATCCCCTTTTGTGACTTTCTGACAAGCAAAGTCAACTGGGGGGGGGAGTCAGATTCGCTTAAGGACCGTGTTCCTAACTTCACAATTGCAGCGATTGACTTAACAACTGTGGCAGGAAAGGTCGTAAAGCGGGGCAAAAAGTCTGTCTCGCTTAGCAACAGAAACTGCTGTCTCGCTTAGCAACAGAAATTTGATTGTAAGCTGAGGACTATAATAATAATAATAATAATAATAATAATAATAATAATAATAATAATAATAATAATAATAAAGTTGGAAGGGACCTTGGAGGTCATCTAGTCCAATCCCCTGCTCAGGCAGGAAACCCTATACCATTTCAGACAAATGGCCATCCAGTCTCTTCTTAAAAACTTCCAGTGTTGGAGCATTCACCACTTCTGGAGGCAGGTTGTTCCACTAGTTAATTGTTCTCACTGTCAGGAAGTTTCTCCTTAGTTCTAGGTTGCTTCTCTCCTTGATTAGTTTCCCTCCGTTGCTTCTTGTCCTGCCTTCAGGGCAGCCCTTCCTCAGCCCCCCCCCCCAATAAAGTTGTTTACCTGCTTTATTTACCCCTTGGATTTTCTGCTTTGCAGTGGGGAACAAGCTTTGTAAATTAGACTTAAGGAAACCTTTATGCAGATAGATTTATTTTTTTTTCTTCTCTCTCTCTCTCTCTCTCTGTGTCACTCTATGTCTCTTTGTCTGTCTCTCCGTCTCTGTCTCTCTCTGTTTCTCTGTCTCTGTCTCTCTCTCTGTCTCTCTCTCTGTGTGTGTGTGTGTGTGTGTGTGTGTGTGTGTGTGTGTGTCACTCTGTCTCTTTGTCTCTCTCTGTCTCTCTCTCTGTCTCTTTCTCTTTGTCTCTCTCTGTCTCTGTCTGTCTGTCTCTCTCTGTGTCTCTCTCTGTCTCTCTCTGTGTGTTTGTGTGTCACTCTGTCTCTTTCTCTCTCTCTCTCTCTCTCTCTCTCTCTCTCTTTGTCTCTCTCTCTCTGTCTCTCTCTCTTTCTCTCTCTCTCTCTCTTCCCCCCCCCCACTGTATGTTGTTGACATTCTGGTCAAAACCAAATACTCCTGATTACCACAAGGCTGTTTACAGGGTTTGGGTTAATTGGATTTCTTAACAACCTTCCTAGGGCGGAAATAGAGCATGGATGGAGTTTCAAAAAGCAGAATGCCGCCTGGATGTATAAACAGGAGGACAGACTTTCACATCATAATCTGATTAGCAGGGAGCAGGTCTAATCGGCTGCAGTTGTGGGTCCCTCACAAAATGAAATGCGACGAGAGTGGGGCTTTGAGAGATGTCTCGCTCACACTTTCTAAGAAGACAGATAAAATTGTAGCAGAAGGATCTGCACAGGGAGTCCTCGACGTACAACAGTCCGTTGGGTGGCCGTTCAAACTTACAACGGCACTGAAAAAAGGGATTTCCGACCATTTTTCACACTTATGACCATTACAGCATCCTTGTGGTCACGGGATCAGTATTCAGATGCTTGGCAACTGGCTCGTATTTATGGCAGTCCTGGGGTCGCATGGTCCCCTTTTTGGGATCTTCTGACGAAGTCAATTCACTTAACCCTTGTAAGTGATTAACAACTGTAGCCAAGTTGAATCCGTCGCCAAGTTCACTCAACAACTGTCTTGCTTAACGGCAGAAATGTTGGGCTCAACTGCAGTCGTAAGTCGAGGATTCCCTGTCTTCTCTAAGCCTTGATTTTTGAATGCCAGTTCCATCTTTTCCCAGCTCTGTTCTTTTTTTCTTTTTCTTCCTGTTTCCTGTATAATGTTATAACGTTGCCCGTCCTCCAGATGTGACGTGCAAAATAAAGCGTTCGGTCTGAAGATTTTTTTTTCTTTGATGGGGACAGTTGGAGAAAATACTGAAGCCTCTTTTCTCCCGTTGTGTTTTTCAGGCATCAGAAGGATCCGAGAAGCTGTTTTCCCCTCCAGCAACGAAAGGTAGGTCAAGATGGAGGAAAAAAAATGCTTCTGGGTTAAAACTTCTTCTTGTCCTTCTGAAGATCCTCTCCTGAGAGCTGGGAACTCGGAAGATATCTTGTCTTATGGTTTCTGTCCACCTCCACTGTGTAGGCCAAAACCAAGAAATCAACTCCATCAGAAAATCACATTTTTTTAAATATTGGCTATAATAGCAGAATCTTGCAACCTCTCCCCCCCCCCTCCTATACTCATGTGAATTAGGGAAGTGTCTGCCTCAATATTGGCTCATGCCTTCTTCATATTTTGGATTTTAAACCATGTGTTTCACCCCAGTCACTTTGATAACAGATCTGGCCTGTCTTCCTTCTCTGTATTTGCAGTTGTTTTGTGTAGATACTTCAGTTGTTTTGGAGATTCTTATGTATGATAAAGTGTGTTATTTCCTTCCTTCCTTCCTTCCTTCCTTCCTTCCTTCCTTCCTTCCTTCCTTCCTTCCTTCCTTCCTTCCCATATATTAAGATTGAATCTTGACTGTTTTTCTTGACATTTGTTTTCTGGTTAATTTTTCTTTTCTTTTCTTTTCTTTTTGAAAATCTTTATTTTGTTGCTAAATCACCTGTAACATTTCCTAAGATTAGTTGTTGTGTTTATGATGGATGAAAAACTACACAATGATTTTTTTTAATTTGGTTCCCACTCCTCTTTTTTTACCTCTTTTTGACATCTGGGGATTACTGGACACTTGACCAGCTGGTTTTCATCCATCTTATGAGTCACAGAATACTGTTTCCAGTTGAGAGAACAGATTCCTAATCTATCTCTTCTTGAGCATGGACGTTCACGTTCTTCTCTTGCTACTTTTGTCCATATAACATACATACAACATTAAATATATATTTCTTCTTCATCACATTTTTCTAATATTGTATCGACTAACATTGCTTGTAAATTATAACATCTTTTCTATCCAGTTCATAACTCAATTTTATTTGCAAATACGGTCACCTTATTAGACCAATACTCTGTTTCCCAGCTCTTGTTTTCATTTTCTTTTCCCTTCGGTGTTCAAAATACCTTTACGCATTACGATTTTCCCAACGGTCGTTCCACTGAGATGAGTAAAGGCTTCCCTTGTTGAAAACCATCCTGTTATTTTCATGTTTCCCATCTCATAAAAAAAAAAAAATACATCGTTCTAAGTATAAATCGGATCTTTCTAAATATAAGAAGACTTTAGAGGTCTTCTCGTCCAACGCTCAAACAGAAGACCCTCTACCCATTCTAGACAACTGGCTGTCCATTCTCTTCTTAAAGCCCCCCCCCCCAGCGATGGAGCACCCACAACCTCTGGAGACCAAGCGTTTAAATGACACACTGTGTATATGTGTGTGTGTGTTATTTAAACACACTCACGCAGTCTTAACCCACATTCTCCCAACGAGAAGCTTGTAATTGCAAACAGTGTCGAAAGCTTTTATTTTTTTTTCCTGCTTTCCCCCTCCTTTTTCCTGCTGTGCTAACCTGTCACAATAAATCATTTTAAAGGCTGGAAATGCAAAAACCTCAAGAGAGAGCAAGCATGCCGTTTATTTCAGAGGGGTCTGTGGCCTTTGAAAGGGATGCCCCCTTCCTTCACCTGGTGGCTAGCGGGCTAGCAGTGAAATGCAAACTAACAGTCCTGTTTAGCTTATATAGCCTTCTACAGCCTTCTCCTTCCATCTAGGGAGGGAGGAGGGGAAGGAAGGAAGGAAGGAAGGAAGGAAGGAAGGAAGGAAGGAAGGAAGGAAGGAAGGAAGGAAGGAAGGAAGGAAGGGGAGAGAAGGAAGGAAGGAAGGAAGGAAGAGGAGAGGAAGAAAGGAAGAAAAGAAAGAAGAAAGGGGTAGAAGGAAGAAAGGAAAGAGGATGGACATCCAGGATTGGTCTTCTCCTGCCTAAAGTCTAAATCTGGTGTTTTAGGCTTAACTTTGGGTCGTCCTTCTCCCGTGTCTTTCTCCTAAGCTTTGGGAGAGGCCTGGAATCCCATCAAAGCCATGGAAAGATTTTTATTTTTTATTTTTTTTTTTTTATGGAGAGAACCAGTAGTTGAGTTTGCTAATTAGATTTCCGTTTGGCCAGAAGAGTTTGATCCTGGCTGGATCTCCAGTGACAGCACTGACAAGTGATCTGGGAAGGAATCAAAGGAAAAACAGCTTCTCTTAATTAGCAGCAGCCATTCCAAGGATTTGGCTAGAATCGAAACAGCTAGTTGAGAACTTTGGTTTCAACCCAGTGTTTAATGGTCCAAAGATCAATCGAGCTGTCTGTCTGTCCATCCATCCATACTATCTATCTGTCTGTCCATCTAGCTATCCATCCTATTTATTCATTCTATCTGTCTGTCTGTCTATCTGTCTGTCTATCTATCTATCTATCTATCTATCTATCTATCTATCTATCTATCTATCTATTATCCATCTTCCATCCATCCATTCTTACTCATTCCATCTCTATCATTTATCATCTATCAATATTCATCCTGTCTATTCATTCTGTCTGTCAGCGTCTGTCGTGTTTGTCTCTGTCTATCTAGCTATTCTTCTTGATGTAGTCATCTATATTCCTGCCTATCATGAATCTCTCCGTCTATCTCTTTTTTTTTCTTTCAATGATTTTTAAATATATGCCGGTCGACGAATGTCCAAATTTTTTATGAAATCAATTGCAAGGAGGCTGCGGCGATCGCAAGCCCGGGGGCCGATCCCAAGTCACTTTTTTCAGTTGCCGTTGCAACTGCAAATGGTCGTTAAACGAATGGCTGCAAGGCGAGAACTGATTGTATCAACACAGGTCACAACTGAACGCCCTTATTCCTGACCAAGCCTTCCCATAAGACTCTGTAAAGTGTCCTAGATCCTCTAGAGGTCCCCAACCTTTGGGGCACCAGGGACTGGTTCCGTGGAGAGAGGTTTTTCCACGGACCGGAGGGTGCGTGGTTTTGTGTGCTGCCTGCATCCCACGGATGGGGCTTTGCTTGTTTGGGCGGACCGGTTGCTGGCATGCCGCAGCCCTGTACCGGTCCACAGACCAGGCGTTGGGGACCCCTACTCTACGGTCTCAACACATATCTGCTCCACCTGCTGTGCCCTTCCGAGTCAGGGTGGAGTGGAACACACACATACACACCCCCAACCCCTGAGGTCAATTTTCAATCAGTGCATTTTGTCTCTTTGTCAGTAAAAGCTTGACTTGCGCAGACCCGAAATGTCAACAGGAGGGCAGCTGATGTAGAAGAGCAATTTATGGCCTTAATCTCAACAGCAGTGCAGTATTGTCTGAGACAAGACACAACCCGACACAACTGGTTGCCAGCTAAAAATGTCCCTGGCTGAGCCAACCTTCCCAAACTCTTTCCATAGTATTAGGGTGAAAAGTTGAGCTTGTAAACCCCAGAGTCCTCCATTGAGCACTCGGCTGTTATTTTAAAATTATTGGGGTACCCGCGTAGCTCTGGCGGGCTCAAAATAAATTGAAGTAATACTATAGGAGATAGGAAGTATTTAATTATTTACCTGGGCATTACAGACCGAAATTGCTTTTTGATTTAATGCATCCAAAGGCAGGGCCATGTTTTTCAGAGCAGAGCAAAGACAGAGAAAGATAAGAAAGGAGAAAAAAAAAACAACAACACTGTAGCATCGCCCCAAATTATTCTTGGGGGCATAAATATCTTTGCAAAGTGCCTTTTTTTTTTTTTTTGAAGATTTGGTCCATTTCGTGGAAATAGTTTACATTTTAAATGTGGCCCTGTTAAATATTCTAGAAGGCTTAACAGCACGCCAGACCTTAAAGGATAAAGAGAACAAGCCTTCAAAACAAATAAATTTGTCTTGCTGGCATAAATGTTGTATAAAGATGATTTGTTTTCTTTAATTATATAGTCGATTGTCAGGGAAGAGGGAGAGAGAGAAAGGGGGGGGGAGAATATATAACCAATGTGCTATGGGCTCTACCCCAGCAGCCAAGTTTTAAATTTTGCAGTTTGGAAAGAAAGTCAATTAAAAGAAGCTATAGGGTTAGGTGGAAAGGCGTTTCAATAAATAACTTCAACCCTCAACTAATAACAATTTACATTACCTTGAACTACAGGGGTTTTTGGAGAAGAAAAATCAAATTAACTTTTCATCTTTTCTCCCGGCTTTGTTTACTTTCCCCTCTTGTTTGGCTTAATAAACATTCACTCCTAACGAGGCACTGCTGTTTTACCGAGTTTGGGTTTTAAACAGCCTTCTGAAGCAAAAAAGCAGTCAAACTTCTCTTGATTTGGTTAGCAAGATTAAAACGTTATGACTGGGTCACATTTAGCTTCGATGCAGTTCACTGGGTCCTACCGACATTAAACCACAGTTCAGGAGCCATGGAAAACTCTGGTTTTCTATTGCACGCAGAAGAAACTAACAGAATCCCGGGTTGTATCAACAGAGGCATAGAATCAAAAATCACGTGAAGGGTGAACACCGCTTTATAAATCCTTAGTAAGGCCACACCTGGAATACTGCGTCCAGTTTTGGTCACCCCGTTACAAAAAATATATTCTTTATTGACTGCTCAAAGTTACAACAACGGGGAAAGAAGTGACTTTACATCCCATCCTTGCATTTGACTGTCACAACATCCACCCAAAGACCTGTTCAAAACTTGAGCAATTGGCATGTATTAATGATGTTTGCAGCATCTGGCCACCATTTGTGATCTTTCCAGCCAGCTTCTGACAAGACAAGTCACATATTTTTCAGTGTCATTGTAACGTTGGACCATCACTAAACAAACTGTTGTTAAGCCGCGGACTGCCTGTATTTATGCCAGTTCCCTTTTTCTTTTTCTCATTTTCCTTCAGTCTCTCACATCCAGGAACTAACCAGGTTGGGTGGACTCTGGCTAGTTTAGCCTCTGCAGTACGAACACAACTTTGACTCGCCAACATGGTAGCAAAACACTCTTAGTTGATCCAGGAGGGGTGGGTTGTTTTTTTTTGTTTTTGT